ACTCGCGTGGTCGTTATATGTATATATACATATATATATATATATATATATATATATATATATGAAGACCATGTTAGTAATTTCATACAGTGTGTGTGTGCATCTTTGATCGGATTCATCAATCTGATGACCAGATGTATAAAAATAAATGCAATAAGACTATATGCATGTCTGTCGTTTAAACATATGCATACTCTTATACTATCGCCTCTGGTTATCAATTTCTCTTGATCCGCCGCAACTCATCAAAATACCCGATCATCCGTGAATCTAAATATTTGGATTCTCAAGTTTAGGTTTTACGAGCCAGATTACCCGTAGACTGGGTTTGAGTTTGGTTTTTACGATTTTACAATCGAGTCGAAAATGACCAAAATAGCAATCGTCTTTTATCCTTAAGATGTTTAACCCCGAAACGAATACATGTTCTCGAATTTGGATATAAGTATGTACCCAAACATTTTAACCGGTAATGGAGGTTTTGGTTGAGAACCGACACTATATAGGCAGGAACGTTTTTTCGGATACCCGAGGATCTTGGGAATGACATGTAAGAAATAAATTATTATGTGACCCATGTAATTTGGGCTTTCGGGTTTTAATGTTAATCTGGTTCTTTGATGGATAAAAACTCATTAAAGAATTAAGGTCCAGGGGTATTATTGGAAGTCCCCTCTCTCCTTACCCTAATACAACCAGGGTTTCCGCACCCTATAAAAGGAACATTATAGTTCATTATTTCTGTCCATCAAGAAAAACTTATAGTACGGGAGAAATGAGAGAAAACCCTAGAAGACTTTTGGTTCTTAAAGTTATTCCGCTGCAATTCATGGATCCAGATATGGTTTTCTGATCTATGTTTTATTGATTGTTTTGTGTGAATTATATAAAGTCAGATCCAGTTTATCGTTTGGGTTTTCATAAAAGCAAATCCCTGAAAACCTGAAATTATCTTACAATGGTATCAGAGTCTGGTTGCTGGCTTAATATAATTCACCGGTTAAAGTTTTCCATCGGATTAAAGTTTTCTCTAATTATATATTTAGAGATTCATATATCGATGAGAAAGTTCGATTTCTTTTTCTAATGTTTATCTTTGAAATAATAAGATATTACATAGATTTGAAATCTGTGATATGATTTCTCTTTTTGAAATCTGTATGTATAATGAATTTATACATGGTCATATGAATTTCTCTTTTAAGTCAATATGTATAATAAATTTATACATTGTCATATTTTAATATTTTATGCATATATGTATGATATAATGATGCATATTTTGACGTGCATATTAAAGGTACATGTGCATATGTGTATGTTACGGATCTTACAGTGTTTTGATGTATTCATATACAATTATTAAACTTACAGAATTTTATTTATTTGAGATATATTTATAATTCGATATAATAGTGATATATATATATATATATTAAATTTTATTTATGTTTATTTATGCATATAATAATGGTAGTCAATTTATGCATATATATATATATATTAGGTCGAATTGTATATAAAAGTTATATCTTCTTTTTTTTTATTCGATTCGATATCTACATTATGGAATCTTGTTAGTCACCAAAGTGGCCTTTGTTAGTCACCAAAGTGGCCTAGATTAATTAAGATTAGATATTCAAATCGAATATTTTCAATTGTTCAAAATGAAAGGATGCTAAAAGATGATATAAAGGTACAGTTGAACAATTGAGATTATTAATTGTATCGCTATGAGGTCGGCCAAAGTTGGCCAAAATTGGACCATTGCATGTAGTTAATAATATTAAAAGGGATTGATATTTTATCTTGATCAATAAGTATGTATATCCAAAGATTGCAACTCATCGCCTCCGGTTATCAATTTCTCTTGATCCGCCGCAACTCATCAAAATACCCGATCATCCGTGAATCTAAATATTTAGATTCTCGAGTTTAGGTTTTACGAGCCAGATTACCCGTAGACTGGGTTTGAGTTTGGTTTTTACGATTTTACAATCGAGTCGAAAATGACCAAAATAGCAATCGTCTTTTATCCTTAAGATGTTTAACCCCAAAACGAATACATGTTCTCGAATTTGGATATAAGTATGTACCCAAACATTTTAACCGGTAATAGAGGTTTTGGTTGAGAACCGACACTATATAGGCAGGAACGTTTTTTCGGATACCCGAGGATCTTGGGAATGACATTGAATTCCAATACGAGATATTCATATTATGGTTAAGGTAATTTGAAATCTCGGGTATCCGACCCGAATCAACCAACCGTAATCCCCTAGTACGTTATTTTACACATGGAATGTTATATACGATTGAGTTCATTATCATACATTATAAAACATATATATATATATATATATATCATGCATGGGTTATTGTCGGTTGAATGTATGTTTTTCGATTTTCTTAAATACAAAGCTACCATAGATTTTGTTGGATTTCAGTTTTTTACTAGAGTTCAATCGGATGTTACCTTAGGTGAAGAAAATATCAATTTATGGATCGAATTTTACACCGGTTTTCAAATAATTTTAACTATCCTAATGTTTACCGTAGAGATCACACCCCCCGTGGGCTCCACATCTCATCATCCGTACTGTACTGCATTATTTGTCCACGTGTCACTAAAAGATACACGAGTGTCACATTGTCTCCCTGCACCCGTATTTAGAGAATAATTTGTTTCTTATTTTTATTTTTAATTTTCTTTTATTTTTAGACAGGAGTCCGTGAACCGAGGGGTTTATACAATGGACACGTCGGCTCGATGTAAAAGGCCTCCGTTTCCTCTTCTGATCTGCATGGTTTCGGATTTTTTTACCCCCAAATTTCGCCTAACTGTAGATTTCTAGGGTTTCTGATTCGTCTCTTGCTTACGAATCGGCATCTCTGGAATCGATTTTGCTGCTTCACTGCTCGGTTCCTCGATCTTCTTTCGGCGATGTTTCTCCTACTCAGGTGTTGTTCGGTTCCATTGGCCTTTTTCTGATCGACTTCGTCTCGAGGTTCGCTTTCTGCCCTAGTTTCTGAGATCGATGATGCTTTCTTTGTAGTCGATCAGGGAGTTACTGATGGGGCTTCTTGTTTCGATCTACGCATTGTGCTTGTTTCCCGGGAAAGTCACGGTTTCCCGGGAAAATCCTATGGTAGACACCCAAGTTGTTGAAGCTGTCTCTTTTCTTTTTACCCTTTTTTGGCCTCTGTTTGTTTTTACTTTTCTGGGCTTAACTTGTTAAGTTATGTTTGGATCTACTGAACTCGGCGGTGAATTAGTAATCTGGAGCCTGGCTTTTTTTTATATGTCTTTACTGTTCTTAGTTGCTCCCGTGGCGTAGTATTTCCGCTATTTGTTCGATTACTGATCCCGTAGTTTTTATTTGTAGGAGAAGACACCTTGTTTCTGTAAATGCAGTGGAGGGTATTGTATATCATTTGGAGTTTTGATGATCTAAGGCTGTAATCTTGGATGAGATTGGTTACTGGCTGATTTGATGAGGAAGAAGAGGAAAGGTAGCGAAGCTGAGGGCTCGGAGAACATACTGGAGAATTTAACATCTGCAACTGCATCGAGATCATCGAACCTTAGGTCTCACTTTTCGTTGGAGGATTATTGTCGACTGAAAAAGAGGTGCAAGGAAAATGACGCTGTTGAATCTGCTGGTTCTTTTAAGCGTAGACTTGCAGGTGTTGCCACTGCGCCTCCCTGTGGTGCATCATCTTTGGTGCCACCTGGAAGAGGCTTAAAGAGGAAGATAGGGTGCATAGATGCTTCCACTCAGACTGGTAGGAAGAATAACATTCATGATGATTATGTTTCCGGCCCAACGATCGGGCAAGGCAAATTTGGATCTGTCTGGATCTGTAGATCTAGGAGTAGCGGGATGGAGTTTGCTTGTAAAACTCTGCAGAAGGGGGAAGAGACCGTTCATAGGGAAGTTGAGATAATGCAGCATCTTTCGGGTCATCCAGGGGTTGTCACATTGCATGCTGTATACGAAGAGATAGACTGTTTTCACCTTGTCATGGAGTTGTGTTCTCGGGGACGGTTGATTGATGAGATGGTCAAGGAGGGTAGGCATTCTGAGCAGCGGACAGCTAATATATTCAAGGATCTCATGCTTGCCATCAGTTATTGTCACGAAATGGGAGTGGTACACAGAGATATTAAACCAGAGAATATTCTCCTCACAGCCGCCGGGAAGATAAAAGTGGCTGATTTTGGCCTGGCCATGAGAATTGCAAAGGGTAAATATCCAGTGTGGGAATTCTCCAGGAATATACTTTTTATTTCATTATCTTTTGATTAAGTTACCTTCAACATTGAAGTAATTCGAGCTAGAGGTAGTGCACCTAAAACCTAGAGTCACGAAGGTCACCATTGGTAGTTCTTGTGAAAATGACTAGTTCTATGACACCCATGCAAATGCTGTGGCTGTGAAAATGGCATTATTACCTTGTTATGATTTTGGAGAACAGACTCATGGGACTAGTCATCAACTCCATAATAGGGATCTTCAGAAACTATAACTTACATTTCATTGCATATGGTGACTGACTCAACCTTTTTTTGTGCCCAAGTATTACACGTCTTTCTTACTGTTCTTCGTGCTTTATCTTAAAATTTCCTGGATGTTCAAATATGATTATCATGACACCAAGAATAAACGAAAGCCTTAGATTTCTAAAAACATTAGTTAACTTGTAATCACTAGAATCGCTGTCAAGCATGCAAGATCCAGACAAATTATTCACATTTCCTCTTCTTCTGGATGAGCCAAGTAATTATGCATTTGCTTATGCCTGTTGCTTATTTATAAAGGATTTTTTTTCTTTTTAAATAGAGCCGGCTTTATTTGCTGGAGATTGGAATATGACCTTTTCTGCTTAATTGAGCTGTCGAAGTTTTTAAAATGATTGTGGTGTCATGGCTTTGACAGGTCAAACATTGTCTGGATTGGCTGGAAGTCCTGCTTATGTTGCACCAGAAGTTCTCTCTGGAAACTACTCGGAGAAAGTTGACATTTGGAGTGCGGGTGTTCTCCTGTACGCTCTCCTCTCGGGGGTGCTTCCATTTCAGGGAGACTCTTTGGAGGCCATATTTGAAGCGATCAAGAATGTGAAGCTTGATTTGCACTCCGGAGTGTGGGAGTCTGTGTCCAAACCTGCTCGTGACCTCTTGGCGAGAATGCTGACAAGGGACGTATCTGTCAGAATAACCGCAGATGAAGTGCTAAGTAAGTGTCTGGTCTTTCCCATCCTTTGTTAAAATGAATGACGATGCTACATGTGATTTGATCTCTTCAACTGAGGCTGAAAAGGAAAGAGAAGTGGGATTTGTTTGGAAAGTCCAATCATTGCTCGCTCCTCTCCATTTAGTCTGCAGTTTATAGAATCTTTTCTTCATATTTAGTGCTTGCCCCCCTACCTTGATTTCACTGCAGAATGAATTAACAGCATGGTTTTGCATCTGCACATTCATTGTTATTCAGCATGATCCACTCTAAAATAGCAACCCTCCATTTTCAGGGCATCCATGGATACTCTTTTACACTGACCGCACACTCAAGACATTGTGTATCAAGTCTAAGCACAAGAATCAAGCGGGTTCTCCTCTGTGCCTGCTTCGTTCTAGTTCCAAGACCTTTGACCTAGACGGAACTGACCCTATCAGCTCAACATCTTTCCGAGTAAACTCCTTACCACTCTCACCATCCGGGAATTCAGACTCTAACACACAGGAGGAGGATGAAAGCGGCTTTGTAGATGTACTCGTAGCTGCAATAGCTGACGTGAGGATCTCAGAACCGAAAAGAAGCAGAATATGTGGACCCAACGGCCCCATCGAACAGCAACACTCGTCTAACCTGACGGCTAACACACTGTGTAGAGCCTTCTGACCGCCGTACAGATTAACTCTCCCACTAAACGCTCTCACCCCAACCGCGTGTAAGCCACAAGTCCATCCATAATTTGGTAAGCAGGTGATTTGCCGCCTACTACGACGACTACTAGCTCGCCCGTTCTGTCAATATTCTCGAGAATGGAATTCGACCTGATATGGTTTTTGCTTGTTCCTAGTCAGATGATGTACAGATCGTGTGTAAATATGATGATGGTTGATTTGAAGGAAACTCGATTCGGTTTCAATACCATGTTGCAGCATGCAGATTCGTGGAGGGTGTGATGATCATATTAATGGCGACTATATTCTATATTATATGTACGGAACTTGAACATGTATATCTATCCTCTCTTTCATGAGTCGAAGGCGCTGCAGTTTTTAGAAATAATAATTTAATTAAAAAAAATGAATGCAAATTGACTATGGATAGAATAAATTGAAGCTTAAAATCGATTTAAAAAAATATATTTTAGAGTTCAAATGTTAGAATTTCGAAAAAGGAAATTTGAGGTCAGTGATGTGCAAGAGCAGAAGAATGATATGTTCTCTTCTCCAATCACTCGCCCTCTCTCCGAAGCCTGCCTCGTCTCTCCAGAAATCTCTCCCGTCTCTCTCCAACGTCTCTCTCTCTCCCCCCCTCTCCCTCTCTCTCTCTTTCTCTCTCTCTCTCTCTCTTGATTCGACTGACATGAATTTTTAGTTCCCCCTCCCATCTCAGGGCTGTCATCTCAGTTCGGTTTCAGTTCCTTCCCGATTCCGGACATTCTGTTCCAAATCCATTGGAAGCATGCAGAACCCAGAAGCCGTGTCTTATCTTATGCAGCGAGAAGCCGCCGAGATCGATGAGACCCTGATGGGTCCTCTTGGTTTCAGCGTTGATCAGCTCATGGTTCGTAAATTTCATTTTCCGCCATTCGAAGGTTTACCCTTTTGGAGGGCTTTTCTGCTGATCCTTGTCGGTTATTTGATTGATTTGGCAGGAATTGGCTGGGCTAAGTGTAGCAACTTCAATCGCAGAGGTTCTTGAATGAACTCTCATAGTCTCTCTCTTGTTGTTTATATCTGTAGTTCCTCTGATGTATTCTGATGGCTCGCCTCAATGTTATTAGACCCAATCCCTTTAGGTTTAGGCCACCGATTGAGTAACCTTCCAACCCATAATTCTGAATTTTCAGCAATTGGAGCCATCAATGATCATTCTTGGTGTAATTTGCTGCCAAAATCCCTTCTTAGGTTTCGGTTATTAGGAACTTTTCTGCATAACCTCTTTTAATGTCCGCCAGACATATGTTTGACTGCTTAATTTGGCTGCCGGAATTACAAAATATTGTTTTCCTTGTATGTATGATGGTTACTGGATATCATGATTTGTAAAGTCTAATACATTTTCCAGGTTTATAAACCGAAGGATTATAACCGAGTTTTAGCAATTTGTGGTCCTGGCAACAATGGCGGTGATGGACTCGTAGCAGCAAGGCATCTTTACCACTTCGGATATAAACCGTTTATCTGTTATCCTAAACGTACATCAAAGCCGCTTTATACTGGACTGGTCACTCAGGTTACAATCGGAGCTTAGTTCACGATATTCTATAGTTTCTTAGTTTGAGATATTTTTTTTCCTGAAATCGTGGTTTCTGCAGTTGGAGTCACTTTCAGTTCCTTTCTTGTCTGTCGATGATCTGCCAGAGGACTTGTCAAAGGATTTTGATGTTGTTTTGGATGCAATTTTCGGGTTCTCATTTCACGGTATTAGTTCCTCTCTCTGTATTGCATAAGAAAGCTTCCAAATTTATCCCTTTTCAGAGAACATTCAAAGAACTGGTTCTTGTTCCTCGTTATCGTTAATACAATATTAAAGACCTGAATTGGCTCAGTTACATGCTTGTTCTCCTCTGTTTCATTTTTTGGATTGCTCATGAAAGTCAACTTTACAAACCTGCAGGTGCACCAAGGCCTCCTTTTGATGATCTGATACGGAGATTGGTGAGCTTGCACAATCGTGACCAGACACTCCAATCACACCCGGTCATCGTCTCCGTGGATATTCCATCTGGGTGGCATGTTGAAGAAGGAGATGTTGAAGGTGGAGGAATTAAACCTGATATGTTGGTATGTCTTCAAGGAAATGCTTACACTGCTCTTGTCCCGATGCAGTACTTGTTTACTCCATACACTATGAAACATACCTTACTAATCAAACCTTTTAGCTATTGTTAGGTTTCCTTGACTGCTCCAAAACTATGTGCAAAGAGATTTTGCGGTCCCCATCATTTTTTGGGTGGAAGGTTTGTTCCACCTTCTGTTGCAGAAAAGTATAAGCTACAGCTTCCTGGTTACTCGGGGACATCAATGTGCGTTAGAATTGGTAAACCTCCCAAGATCGATATTTCTGCCATGAGAGAGAACTATATCTCTCCAGAGTTGCTGGAGGAGCAGGTTGAAGCTGATCCTATTTCTCAGGTATGAATGCTGTTCTGTGTCTTTGGTTTATTGTTAAGTTTTTCTGTACTTGATTGGTAATTTTACTAAAGCAGCTGCTTCCAGTATCAGTGTGTCTCGGTCTGCATAAAATCTTTTGTTTGTTATCGCCTGTCAAGATCTGGGTTTTGCTACATTAGGCTTTACTTGAAAGACAGTGATTGCCTTTTAGGGGTATGCCACCCTTTGTACTAAAAGTGACCATTCATGCTTTGCAGTTTCGTAAATGGTTTGATGAGGCTGTTACTGCTGGATTGAGAGAAGCAAATGCTATGGCTTTGACTACTGCTAACAAGGACATGAAACCGTACGTGTACTTTAAGACCCCAACAGATTTTGCTTTGTATGGTGCAGCATGCAGATGAATCATGAATATCGACTTCCAAAATTCTCTGTTCTTTAAATGCCTGCGTTATGTGGTATGGATGTGATTAGGAAGGTGGAACTTTACGTTTCTTTTTGCAAAAGAAAGGAAACGCACATGCAACTCTACTTTGTTTTGCTACTGACTCACAGTGTCTATCTCTTGTTGCTAAATTCTTCTTGACATCCTGGCAAGTTTTTTAACGTATGGCAAGTGTCCGTCCACATGCTCTTTATGAACGGTGATCATCTGGTATACATATATGTGGATCATGGAAATGATCTCATCGATTGCTGCTAGTCCAAATTAAGTTGGTTTCATAGATATTGTGTGCATATAATGGGAGTAGGAAAAATACTCGAACCAATATCTCTGTCCTTTCTTTTCCTCATCCTTCTACTGAACCCAGTTACTCTTGTAGCTCGTCAAGAATGGTCCTGCTGA